GGGAATCAAATTTTCTGTTTTAAGTTTTGCTTTCTGGTGGATAGCCAAGCAGGAAAGAAGTAAGTGTGACTGAATGAGCTGCCTGACCAAACAGACAGCATGTACTTACAAACAGTAGTTAAAGTTAAGTGCCTGGAGAAGAGTACTGGGAAGAAGAGTGCTGTAGGGGACAGAGCCTGACCCTAAGCCCTGGCGAGTTCCAGCGTCTACAGCAACAGTTTTTAGTTTTTCAAGCCTCTTTACACTATTAAAATTGCCAAGGACACAAAAGAGCTTTTGTTTATGAGGGTTATATCTGCTGCTATATACCATATTACAAATTAAAATGTATAGGACTTAGGCTTCTGGTCAAGTAGAATAACAGGGACCTGATACAGCCTCCCCCAGAGACATCCAACATAAATGGACAAAATGTATGAAATGGTGGTTTTTAATACACTGGATATTAGGAAACAAAAGACAGGAATATCTATCTACAAGATAGGGAAAAATGAGGTGAGCCCTGTAATAGAGTTTCTAGGTTGTGGTGCAGGCACGGGGGTCCCAGGCAGAGCCTGGTAGACTCTGAATTAAGGAAAAGATCTAAGATACCGGGAAACTGAAGGCACTAGAGTTGGCAGGACAGTGCAGGAAAGGAGAGAGTACCACAGAGAGAGCCCTAGGAATCCGCAGAAGGTTCAGTGCGTGTGTTCATTCAGTATACAAAGTACGTTTTCTGGCTGTTACCAGAGAAGAACCAGGAGCAGGGAGGGTCTGCCTGGCACAGTTTGGAAATAAGATTCTTCTGTGCTGTTGCAGGAAAATAACTTCAAGGATGCACGTGCCAGAGGATTTTAAGCCACAGTGGCATGATTTATTATGAAAATAGTGAAAATAGATTGTACACCTTCAGAAAGGCTGAGAGCAGGAAGGCTGTAGTAGTGGCTTATGGACAGAAGTAAAAGGAAATTCCTCTGCTACTGCTCACTGCTCCCCTGGTTGCAAGTCTTGTGGGGACCCTTAGAGTTTAGGAACAAAGAAGACAGAAGGCATATGCCAGGGAGAAGGGCCTGGGGCGTGTGCTGGATTCCTTATCTAGCTTTTGTACATTTCCTTGGGTGCAGAAAAGAGCAGGCTTTCTTTCAAAGTATTCAATCCCTAATCTCTTTCCTGGCTTTTCCCAGGGCTGTGGTGTGCCTTCCCCCTGTCCACTCCCTTTCCTGGCTCTTCCAGGGTTTCATGCCCTTAACATATCCATCTGATCTTTTGCCCAGATTTTCCCAGGCCGGTCCCCTCACCCCTTATAGTCATAATTTTGGCTTCTGCTGAGCATGCACTCAGTGAAAGGGATTTCCCTTCACCATTCCCTCCCTTCATTAATCTGAAGGAATGGTTCCAGTTGGGGTGTCTCCCTGGAGTGACAGTGAAACTGTCCTTTTCTAGTTACTCTGGCTTAATCAGATGCCTGGTTTGCTTCCTTCCTTTTTGTTAATGTCTAAGTAACTGCCTACTGTAACAAGACCACAATAGAATTAAATTAGAAATCAATAACAAAGCCCTCTGGAAAACTGCCAAATATTTGGAAACCGAGCAACATACTCCAAATAACTCATGGGTCAAAGGAATATTAAGACCAAGAAATTTCAAAATTATTTATTACCTCATTTAAAAATAAGAAATTCATTATGTGATTAGCATAACCTTATTTTGATAGGAAATAACTTTCTTAAAACAAAAATAATCAAAGTAAATGGAAATTTCTACTTTTAGCCCAGATGGCATAACAGAGAATGTATTTTATGTTGCTTCATTAATAAACTAGAAAACCAGATGAAATGTATGAAAATATGGTTTTTTTAGATATTGGGAAAAAGCACAGGACTGTGATTCCTGACAGAAAACCCGGTGGCGAGCTTTCCAGGCCCATAGCTCACTTCCTGTGGGCGGTTTTCAGGCCTTGGGTGGGGGGACCCGCGAACCATCTGGTTCTGTCACTGAGTAAGGAAAAGCAGAAATGGAACTTGTGGAAGACCAAGGTTTCTAGAATTTGTGGGATGGCTAACCAAAGAAGGGAGTACCTCAGTCCACACATGACTGAGAGGAAAGTGCCTGAGACTAGGGGAAGACTACTGGAAAGGGTTAGGTCCAGAACAATTTCTGGAGCTCACACAGGGCCGGGAACAGCTTGAATTCACCACAAGCCTTAGTAGGGAAACACCATAAAATATATAGGGCTATCAGGCAGAATCTTCATAAAGGTATTAAGCGCTTTAGTAGCTGGGCTAATCTACCTTTGGGCTAGATGATAAATATTTTAGGTTTTGGGGTTTTTATAAGATGTTCTTGTTTTATTAACAAGTCTTTATGAAAATATAAAAACTTCTCCAGCTGGGTTGCTCAGTTAGTTGGAGTGTGGCCCGGAACACCAAACAGTTGTGGGTTCGATTCCTAGTCTCCATTTGGGCACCTAGGCCTGTGGGAGGCAGCCTAGGCAGCCCATCTGACGTTTCTCACGTTGATGTCCCTCCCCTCTCCCCTCTGCCCCTCTCCCCAGCCCTTTCCCTCCCTCCCCTCCTCCTCCCCCTCGCCTCTTTGTCCTACCCCTCACTCTTCCCTCCCCCCTCCTTATTTCTTTTTCCTCATTTTCTCTCTCCCTTCCTTTCCCTGAAATCAATAAAAATATCCATGGGTGAAGATTTTTTAAAAAAATTTTAAAAATATAATAACCATCTTTAGCTAGAGAGCCATATAAAAATAGGCCTTAGGGTTGGCTTTGGCCTTTGGGCTTTAGACTTATGGTTGTGCAATTTTTTTTCAAATGAAAGATTAAAAAAAATAAACTTCACTTTTTAGAGTATTTTCAGGTTCATAGCAAAATTGAGGGGGTAAATACAAGAGAGTCCCTCTGTCTCCTCTGATCCACAGATGCAGTCTCTCTCACTGTCAGCATCTCTCTTGCAATGAAAAAATGTCCTCAGATAAGAATAATAAAAGAAATCTTGAAGAATATGAGTTGGTTGAATGTGGGCTTATTTAATGGCTCTCACAACTATCTGAACCATTTAAAACTTCTAAGAGGTGCATTCAGGGCATCTAACCAGCAGAACTGAGATTTTTAAACTCTAAACTACTCCTTGCCAAGTGGCAGAACTCCTAAAGTAAGGTGAAGAGATGAGTGTGAACAGGTTTATTAGTCCTAATACCTTGGCATTGTTCTTTTTTCTTTTTTACTTATAGTTGACATACAATATTATATTAGTTTCAGATGTACAGCCTAGTGACTCATCATTTATATCTTATGAAATGTATAAGATATATTGTTTTTTTGAGCAGAGATTATGGGACTTCTTTGGTCAAAGCAGTGGCTATTTATTTTTTGTTTTTCAGCCTAGGCATTGGAGTAATTAGATTTTAAAAAGAAAATCCCTTTTAATTCTGGGATTTTATTGCTTCAGAAGATAAAGGCATTAAGCCTTCCTAACTGCTAATGAGATTACTGTAATAAATTTCTTCTGTAATTCTTTACAATCCATAGATCTGGTCTAACTAATCCTGGAGACCCCAAAATGCTATGTTAAACTGTTTGCCTAACAGAAAATACCATTGTGTGAGCCCATTTATTTATTTTATTTGGGGAGCAGAAGTATGAAGTAATTATCCTTGAATGCATAGAGTTAAACAGGACTTGAAGAAATCACCTAGATTGTAGTCTTAGGATCTTACCTATTTCTGAAGAGGTAACTTTCCAGTAATCTTTATGGCCTGCTTATATTTTTTTTGCTGAAATTTTAAAGTGTCTTATTTCAAATTTACCAGACACTTTACACCCAACACCATAGCTTTACTAGGAGTTTTTGTACATGTACTAGACACGTAAATTTATTGCAGTTAGGAGCAGTCTTTCCCTAGTGTCCAGAGAACAGTCACATTTGTTTATCAGGAATATTGAAATGAACGTGCAAATGGCGATAAACCTGGCTTCTTCCACAGTGGAGGAGGCAAGTCACTTGAGTTTTCACCAGCCAGGATTTTGCATGTCTAGATAAGAATTTTCCATTGCCATCAGTTATCTACAATTTACTGAGCTGTAGCATAGCTCAAAGGCAATGAGTGGCTGGAGTTCTGGAAGGGGAGCTCTGGCAAATGCATAGTTTTCACTTGAAGCACAAACTTCCCCCCATAACCAGTTATTCTTACTGTCGTGCTATAGGGAAAATGGGTTATGTAAGAAAATGTCTCAAAACTTTAACTATATGCAATATGATTCTTTCCAATATGTATTTTTGCAGGACTTATAACATTGTGAACCATGGCTTCAGTGGCTAAGGGTGCTAGATAAGTAGAGTGCAACCTCAGCTATTTGAACCCTGGTTTGAATCACAAATGAATGTCCTCAAGTTGCGCTTTAACAATGACTGGCCGGTCTTTGTTGAGTAAATTAATGAACATTACTAATGGTGACCTGAGGTCAGGCTTACATTATTTGAGAGGTGTTAGCGGGAATTGTGGTGGAGATATCTTAGATGGTTAAAGGGGTTCTGGTTGGAAACTGACAAGAAGTGTGAAGGGAAAAGAGAGACTTGAAATGGATAGTCTTTGTTTTTATAACCCAACTTTCCTACAGGCTTTTGCTGTTATATTTAATTAATATTCTTCATCTTAGTACTCTTTTGTATGTTGGAAGTTAGTATAGTGTCTTTTGGATATATCTGGGAAAGCAGTATCCTTCATGCTGTAGCAAAAGACTTTCTAGAGGATGGGGTTTGGGAAGAAACCGGTAGCCGCAAACTGGAATGCCTTGTGTTCCATGTCTGTATCTGAGGAGGGGAGGAGATAAAAAGAAAGGCTTCCACCATCTCCCAGCCCCTGGTGTTCTTGTGCTTGCCAGCTTCTTACTGTAATGCACGGGATTCCCAAGGGTGCCATTGTTGAGCAGGCTTGTACACTTCTTGATACTCTGTTGGTTATAGACTTTAACTTCTGTAGTTCTTGCTTTACTGAGAAGGTCTTTTCAATTTCAGGTAAAAAACATCAGAGTGAATTTCAGCTTCTGGTAGATCAGGCCAAGAAAGGATACAAGAAAACTATTGAAATGTCAAAAAAAAAAGTAACCAAAAAAGAAGACGAATCTACAGAAAAACTATTCTCTGTACACACAGGTAAGAGACTTCAATTAAAAACAGAAATGATGTCGAATTTCACTAATTTATTTTAATATAAAAAATTAAACCAAAGGAGTTTACTTTGGACTCAGTAGATATTTGAAATGGCAAGAAGTATTTTTAGACGCATAGCAGTTGTTGAAAGTGAACTGCGTTCATAACTCTGGGGAAAGGGCTGGGAAGATGCCCTGAGACACAGTCTAACATCTGTCTTCCTTTTGGTTCATAATTAATCAAACATTTTTTAGTTCTTTAAGCTTGAAGATGTTTTCTAGGTGTGGGAATTATTGCTGCAGATCTTACAAAGAGAATAAATTATTTTTGCTACAGGTCACTGGTATTTATTTTGGAGGGAATGTTCTGCTAAGAAAATCTAAAGCTAATACACTTGGAATGCCAATATGTAGCATATTTCTTCATTTAGATCCATTTTAATTTTAGATTAATAGTATATTTACATTGCCAGGACTTTAGGCCAGTAAATAAAACAGAATCATAATGGAGGGAAGTACATAAGAAAATTTCCTATTATGTTTTTATTGTGGTAAAAGATATATAAGATTTATTATTTTAACCTTTTATAAATGTACAGTTGAGTGGCATTAAATACATTCATAATACAACCATCACCACTATCTATACCCAAAACTTTTCTTCATCTCCAGTGAAAACTCTGTACCCATTAAATAATAACTCTTTTTCTTCCTCCTCTCCCTTCAACCCCTGGTAATTCTACTTTTTGTCTATGAATTTGCTGTTTTCCACCTCATATAGGTGGAAGGAACCCTATAATACTTGTTCTTCTGTGTCAGCTTATTTCATTAAGCATGATGGTTTCAGGGTACTCAAGTTGCAGCATTTATCAAAATTTCATTACTTTTTATGGCTAACTAATACTCTGTTGTATGTGTACGTCACATTTTGCTTATCCATTCATCTGTAATGAGTTACTTTCACCTTTCGGCATTCGTGAGTAGTGCTGCTATAAACATTGGTTTTCAAATACCTCTTCAAGTCTCTGTTTTCCATTCTCTTGGCTCTGTACCTAGGAGTGGGATTTCCGGTTCATATGGTAATTCTGTTTACCTTTTGAAAGACCGCCACACTATTTTCCACAGTGGTTGAACCATTTTCCATTCCCAACAGCAATGTTTGGGGATTTCAGGTTCTGTCTCTCTTCACCAACCTTTGATGTTTTACATAGATATGGTGGTAGGTATGAAGTAGTTTCTCACTTTGCTTTTGACTTGTATTTTCCTAAAGCCTGGTGAAGTTGAGCATCTTTTTTATATGGTTTTCTGGCCTTTTGTTTGTCTTCGGAGAATGTCTGTTAAAGTCCTTTGTCTATTTTTTAATTGAGTTGTTTGGTTCTTTTTCCGATTGAATTTTAGGAATTCTTTATACACCCCAGATACTAATGCCTTATTACATGTGATTTGCAAATGTTTGTAAACATTTTTGGGGTAGTCTTTTTGCTTTCTTGTTAGTAGTATCTTTTGATGCACATAGGTGTTTGATTGTGATGAAATCCAGTTTATCAACTTTTTTCTTCTGTTGCCTGTACTTTTGTTGTTATATCCATGAAGTTGTTGTCAAATCAATGCCATGAGAATTTCCTTTGCTTTTTCCTAAGAGTTTTATAGTTTGAGCTCTTACATTTAGATTATGATCCAGTTTGAGTTTTTATATATAGTATAAGGTAAGGGTCCATCTTCATTCTATTGGATGCAGATAATCCATTTTTCTGAACACCATTTGTTAAAAGACTGTCCTTTCCCCACTGAATGCTCTTGCCATCCTTGTTAAAAATCACTTGATCATACATGTGAGGGCTTATTCTCTGTTTTACTATATTGGCTGTGTGTCTGTCATGCCAGTAGTACACTGTTTTTATTATTGTAGTTTTGTAATAAATTTTGAAGTTCTCCAGTTTTATTCCTTTTCAAGATTATTTTGGCTATCTGGGTTCTTTGAGATTCTATGTGAATTTTAGGGTGGATTTTTCTATTTCTGCAAAAAGTGCCAAAGGGATCGCATTGAATCTATAGATTGCTTTGGTTAGTTTTGACATTTTAACAATGTGAAGTCTTCCATTCATGAATGTAAGATAATCTTTCATTTATTTATCTCTGCCTTAATTTCTTTCAACTTGTATTTTTCAGCATACAGGTCTCTTTTACCTCCTTGGTTAGATTCATTCCCAAGTATTCTACTGCTTTAGGTGCTGTTGTATTCCTTATATTATCTTATATTCTGGTGTCATTTAGTAGTTTGCTGCCTGAGTATATGAAGTCTGTCCAGATTTTAGTTTTGGCAAAAAACAGAAGTTGCAGGGTGCCAAATCTGGGCTGTAGGAGTGCTGAGTCACCTGGGTGATTTGATGTTTTGCTAAAAAACTCTTCATGAGACATGATGCATGAGTGGGCGCATTCTTGTGACGAAGTTGCCAGTCACCAGCTCCCCGTAGCTGTGGCCTTCTGAATCATCTGAATAGTTTATATGGAGGAATGTTCAAACTCCACACAAAATTTGATGGAGATTCCTTGAGCTACTTACTCGGTAATTTTGAATGTGATAGCCACATAGTACGCATACTCTCTCAATAGTGTCTACACCCCTACGGACAAGTACAGTGAAGTCACATTAATCACACATGCTCACTCAATGGTATCTACCTCCCCCACTGACTAGTACAGTGAAGTCATCATTGTTACACATGCACATTCCAGTCCGCTCTCCTTGGCTGCCAGGTTGCAGTGATGTGGTGCAAATCAATCTCGTTATATGAACAACGGCTGGACTTTTTTTGGGTAGACCTCATATACCCCATGGTCTTCGTGGACAACTTGGATTTGTTCATGCAGTTGTTAAAGATAGTCTTAGAAATGGTTCAGCTCCTGAGAAAATTTGGCCTACTGTCTCAGATTCGGAGAACATTTTTGTTTATTGGTTGAGATTGCTTGTACTCAGGGGCTATAATGTGTCATATAGGGTGGGGCAAAAGTAGGTTTACATTTGTGAATATATAAAACAAAGTTTATTCTTGTATTATTGTGGATTAATTGTTGTATTATGTTCCACATGAACAACTGTAAACCTACTTCTGCCCCGCCTGTATGTGTATATGCACATAGATACTGCTCTCTCTGGGGTTCACAGATGAGTGTGCTGCTGGTGGATTGCTGTGTGTGGATGTGCATGTTTGGGAGAGGCAGGGAGTGTGAGAGGGGAAGACAGACAGACGGTTGCAGACTGACTGAAAGGTTGGGCTTTGTACAGCATCATACAGATGTATGAACTGTGTTAAGTCTCGCTCTTTAGAATAAACGTGCTTGTTGAAGTGCCAGTATAAGTTTAAAAGATGTGTTCTGTTAAGTAAAACCTTCATGTATTTCGTTGCATGTTTTTGGGGAAGTTTGATGTCAGAGCCTCATATTCAGGGCTCTATTTAAAGACCTCTTCTGACATCTATGGACGGATGTGGAGGATTACTGGCTTTCAGTGCCTACACATTGTTGTATGATACTTGTCCCTAAAAGAGAATATATTTGATACAAGCTTACTAAGGAGAGGAGGAAGTGAGAGAGGAAAAAAAATAGTTTTAAGGTGAGCAGGACTCTGTTCCCTGGCTTGCTGGTGTGGTTGCATCCCCCTGGCCAGTTGAGTGATAAGAGTTGCCTGGGTTTGCTGAGTTTGCTGGATGACTGGTTCCTCTTAACGTGGTCCTGGGTGACTTTCTACCAGAGGAGCTGCTGGGTGGTTGTCCTAGTTGGCTTCTCTTCTCCCAGATGCACACTAGAGGGTACAGTTTGGTTCTGCTAATGATTAGGCTGATTGAAAGCCAGACAACGTCAGGAGCTTAGTTTTAGAAATTGTACTCCTGTGATGTATGCTGTTCTCCCATATAACAAAAGCTTGTATCATTATTTCCGGAAAAACTCTGACTGTATGGACTTGGAAAGATTTTTTTGGAAGAATTTGTACTATTATTTTTCTATGAATTTTCTTTTTACAAAATCTTGACAATTCTTTTTAGTGTCTTTTGTTAAAGGTCACTTGCCTGTATAAGCACATGGGTGAGTGATGTGTGAAAGTTCTGCTTCTCTGTGAAACTCATGAATCAGGGCCCTATACTATTGGCGCTCATGGCCTGCATGTGAAGTGTAGTACTTACTCGGTTCCCGAATTGGAAAGACAGTACAGTCGAGATCCCAGCTGAGCTCCGAAACAGGCTGTGAGGGAGAGTCTTGAGCCCTGAGGAACCCTTCACTGATACTATTGTCTACACTCACGTCTGCAGCTATCTGGTCATACCCGCATGCCACATTCTCGTAAACATCGTGCCCTTATCTGCAATTAGAGACTTCAGAAATTGACAGTATGACACAGGGTGCCTAGAAATGTGACATGTATTGGATCAAACGAAACTATTGGATATGTCTGATTAGTTTTTCTTTTCAATAGTGAATATTAGATTCATCATAACAGACTTAGAAAAATGTCTAGATAAATACATTACCATATACAAGTCAGTGACAAATATTGTAATTGTTTTACTAATTGAATCTTTCATTTATGTTAATGTGTTTTTTATGTTTATCGGTGTTTTCTGGTCTGAATTTGTGGGAATTCTTTAGTAATACTGTAAATATTATAGAAGCCACATTAGAATTACAAGGTTCTTCCTACTGATTCAGAGGAGATTTTGGTTTTCAATTAATTAATCCGGAAACGCATGGAGTGGAAAATATAATTAGATGGCACCATTACAGTGTTGATTCTGATTTTCTGGCTGTCACTAGAGTTTTGGAATCGATGTTAAATAAACTTATATTTTACTAATACAAATAGGAATATTAAGTATTGTGGAAATAATAAATATGCAGAGGTACTAGGTTTTAAGGTACTCTTAAATGTTTCCTTATTTTTCTTCTTTTTTTCAATTTAGATCAGGAAGATAATAAAATGAAATTTTCAGAGATGCCCTTGGTAATAAACCACTTCTCTCAGTCAGAACTGGACTCCCCAGGGACCTTGGAGCCTGATACACCTGACGATTGTTCCAGTTGTACGGACATTGATGAAGACGATTTGTCGTCATCAGAGTCAGATTCATGCAACAGGTAAGAAACTTGCAGTAGGTGATTATTTTAAATGTCTCTTTCCTGGGTATGCTAAGAGAGGCACAAATAATTAGAAAACATCTTTGAAGCATGATGCAGTTCCTCAGTCTTCCACTTCAGGCTCCTTATACTGCTCCGTAGCATTCACAGTGATAGCAGGGCAGGGTGTGGGAGAGCAGCACCAGGGTGGTTTTGTTTTCTCCCCTGTAGCCTTTATGTAGGTATTTTTTCTGGAGTTGGAAAAGAGGGTATGATAGGCAATGAAATTTTTTGCAGAGACAATGAGTGGAGGAGATAAAGATAACTCTACTAGAAAACAGTGATAACCAGAAAGACAGTGCATAGGGAGGGTAAAACGAGAAGAATTTATTTGAACAAGTAGAAGCAATGGGGAAACTTAAAAAATGAGAGATTTGGAGGTAAGTAATTTTCCAATTGATTTTTTAAAAAGATATTAAAACAATTTTTAAACAAGTACATAGTGTTAAATCATCATCATACACACACACACACACTATTTTATGTTCTGGTATTTCACTTTATATGATAAATATTACCCATGTTTCTACATCATCTTGATAACTTTTCAATGGATGCAGTGTTCTCTTGTTTTACTCTACTGTAATTGACCAAACTCCTCAATTTCTTTTGGATATCTGCCTTTTCCTTAGCGTTCTTGTGTACCTAATGCTGTGGTAAAACTCTCTCTTAATGACCTTAGATATTTAAATTTTTTTACTATTTAAAAAAATTTAAATAGTGCTCTAGATTGATAGATTATGTCTAATTTGAATAATCAAGTTAAGAAGAAATTTTTTATAAGAAGAGCACAACCAAAGACTAATTGTTTTAGGAGTCCTGGTACACAGTTTCCGATTATAGAGAATCTAGTTTTAGGAAGGGAAGATCTTCTCACCTCACCCCTAATTTTTTCAAGATCAAAAACATGAGCTGAGTGCGGGAAAAACATGTGGTAGCCTCAGTTTTCTCTAGGAGTGTGGTAATGCCACACAGCTTTTCTAGATAGGACTGCTTGTCCAGTGGGTCCTTTTTATCTTTAAATGCAAGTCTTATAGGAATATAAAGTCACAGTGGAGGGATATCAGAGGTCAGGAGTTTTTAACCATATTCACAGGATGCTTGAATGTTTCAGAATGCTTGGAACATAAAATGGGACATTTTTATGAACTTGGGGTGGGAATGGAAGAAAGTAAAAGGGGAAACACATGGCAGCCGGCATATTTACCTGTTGGGAAATAGGATGAGTTTATAGGCGGTCTTGGCCTCGGACAGACTTATTAACATCACTGAAGAGGATTATTAAACCACTTTTTAAAATTTTAACATAAGCTTTTACATTTTGTCACATTTTTATTAGTTATGCATATGTATATTTATACACCCATACACCCATGACCAGATGACCTACTAATTGCAGAGTAACAGCTTTATGAGATAGAATTTACATACCATACTGATGAATTTACATCAGTCATTTAAGTATACAATTCATTGGTTTTTAATACGTTCACAGAATTGTACAGCCATCACCGCAAATTTAGAACATTTTCATCACATTCTCTTTTGGGGCACATTTTATTGTGCCCCAAAAGAAATGACATACCTATTAGCATTCGCTCCTCATTTCCTCCCAACTCTGCCAGCCCTTGGCAACCACCAATCTACTTAAGTTTGCCTATTCTGGACTTCCTGTCAAGATGGCAGCATAGGAAGACATGGCTTGTCTCTTCGCACAACCACATCAAAATTACAACTAAAACATAGAAAAACCATCACTCAGGAGTGTCAGAAGTCTAGCTGAATGAAAGTCTGACAACTACGAAATCAAATTGAATGGAAGTCTGACAACTATGGAATTAAAGAAACTACATCCATCTAGACTGGTAGGAGGGGCACAGATATGGAATGGGCTGGTCCCACACCCACAATGATAAAAATTTGGGAGGGATATTTCAGGAGTGAGAGTCCCAGCCCCACACCAGGCCCCCATCCTAGGATCCAGTGCCAGGAAGATAAATCCCCACAGCTTCCGTCTGCAAAAACCAGCAGGGATTGTGTTGGTGGAAGAAACTGCTGGGGCTCCAAGCAATTCCTCTTAAAGAGCCCACATACAGACTCAGCTACGCAGACTTACTCCCTCTGAGCTCCATCACCGGTGTAGCTACTTGAGAGGTACCAGTGGCATACAGGTAGAAACTGAAGTGTCTGGGCATCAGCGTGAGCACAGGCCATTGCCCCTTTGCTAAACCCTCCCCCCACGGACTAAGGAAGCTGCTGCCCTATCTGAGACCCCATCAACTTGGCTAACACTGTTTGACCTACCTTGGAGATCCCCAGAGGCTCTGTCCCACCCAACTTACAGGTCCTTGCAAGCTTCTTTTCCATAAGAATGGCTGGTCTTGGCTCTTAAATCCTATCAAACATGCAACAGCGGGCTTCAGTGAGCCCTATCAGCAGCCAGATTAGATTCAAAGCTTGGCTTCATCAGGAAATCCCCGAGCCCAGCGCAAGGAGCAACCACCTCAGATTGCTGTACAGCTCAGTCAGTGTGGCCCTGAGTGAAACACAGGTAGGGTCTGACCTTGGACTGCATCACCCAGGAAACCCCAGAACCTGTGTACCCAGTGGACAGCTACATACCACGTTGGAGCACCACCACCCTGCCCGCCCCTGCACACCTGATCCTCCACTGGCAGCGGAGGTTGGTGGTTAAGGGGTCACCGTCCTTGGAGCTGACTGGCCTGGCTAAATCCCTCCCATTGACCTGCCAGCAACAATCAAAGCTCAACAACAAAAGGAGGGTGTACTCAGCCCACACAAAGAACACACAGCTTGGTGAGAGGGGAGACTGGTTCCTCTGGGACAGCCAATACATTAGGCCACACTACCAAGACAGGGAGTCATAGCAGCTCTACCTACTAGAAACAAACACAGGGAGGCTGCCAAAAGGAGGAGGCAAAGAAACATGGGCCAAGTGAGCAAACAGGTCAGAACTCCAGAAAAAGAGCTAAATGAATGGAAATAAGGAGTCTAGCAGATGCAGAGTTAAGTTTGTCTATTCTGGACACTTCTTATGAATGGAATCATGGTGGTCTTTCACAACTAACTACTTTGTCTTAGCATAATGTTTGCAAGGTTCATCCATGTTGTGTCATATTTCAGGAATGTATTCCTTTTTATCATGGCATATCATTCCATTGTATGGATGTATTTTTTATGTATTCATTTATTAGTTGAGGGACATTTGGGGTGTTTCTAATTGCAGTTTTAACAAGGAGAAAAGTCACTGAATTTGCTTGTGCACTTTGGGAACTTAGCTGTAGAGACCACATCAAAGATTTCGCCTGGCTTGCCTTGAGAAAGTGCAGTGTCTGCTGCTCATCTAAATTATGAATAAGTTCTAGACACATTGTAAAGATTAAATATGTTAATCTTTTACATTATTATTTTATTAGTACTCTTTTATACTCCCCTTTTCATTTTCCTGTCATGTTGTTGGTTTAAGATACTTAAATTTAAAAGGTGGAGTCTCTTCCTAATATAAGACCTAGAAATTTATATGATCTTAAGGGAGAGTGGGATTGAAGTGAGCCTTTACTAGCATTTGTTTTGATACCAGGACAGACCACTTGGCAACTGATTCAAGCTGTCAAGAGGTAATTATGCAGCAGGAAGCAGAGATGGTGAAGCAGGAAAGTAGTAGATTTACTGTTGAGTGACTTTGGGTCAAGAACTACCAGGCTGTCAGAGATTCAGTCTTTTGAAGTCTCTTTCCCTATAAAATATCTCAGATCTATTAGGAAGATGAAATGAGGTAATAGATGGGAGGGTCTTTGATAAATATATGATTATTAATCTATAGAGATCAAATCAATTACATTTTCTTCAGTAATGCTGCAAAATTTGGGATTCTATGGCTGGACATTTCAGAAATGCTTTTACAGCCTTCAATTTCCTCATTCTAATTTTCAGAGTAAATCCCAAAATTTATTTTTTTCCTACTTCCGTTCTGAACTTTGGTAGAGAAAGTTGTGAGCCTGGTTTGATGAGTTCCATTCAAAATTCACTTAATTTGGCCAAGTTAGGTGCTCACTACTGAGGTGGAGTCTTCTGACTTACTCCTTATTACGTTTCTCCTGGCATCTATTCCAACCCCTTTACTATGTCTGCTTCTTCACTTTCAATGGACACCTGTCTCCCATCTGGTTCACCAAGTCCAGGTAATCTGCTCTGTCTCCAGGTCTGTCTTTTCAACCTAAGGTTTCTTGAATTTTTTTACCTCTTCATTCCTGTTAATTGTAAGAGAGAGACATAATTCTTAAGACATTCCTAATAATTCTTCTTTCTTGTCAATAATGAGGTAAAGACATACTGGTTCTTAAGAATGAGTTGTCCATCTCCTATCAGACATTGCTCCATCAATCATAACCATCCTTTAAGTTTGCTTTTGGTTGGCGCCTTTCTCTCAGCCCTTCCTCTGGCCTCTGTCTTCTCTTATTCTTCCCACTAAGTGGGAAGTAATTTCACCTTCCTCTGAATTCCAAAGCAGTTTATCTAAGTCAAATCCTAGCCTGTATTATAGTTACTTGAATAGCTTTGCCATTTTATATATATATATATATTTATTATTATTATTATTTTTTTAGATTTTATTTATTTTTAGAAGGGAGGGGAAGGAGAGAAGGAGAGAAATATCAATGTATTGTTGCCTCTCGTGAGTCCCCTGCTGGGAACTGGCCTGCAACCCAGGCATGTGCCCTGACTGGGAATCAAACTGCGATCGTATGGTTCGCAGGCCCGCGCTCAATCCACTGAGCTACACCAGCCAGGGCTGCCATTTTTATTATTATTCATCAGAGACCTTATGAATTGAACATTTAAAATTCTCCTGTGAAGACTTGTTACAAGACCTTTATGAGATAAATGAGTTTTTGAATCTAATATGTACGTTTTTTGTTCTACATTTTAATGTTTGACAT